TACTAATTAGTATTCCTAACTAAGGCAACAGTTAGTACATGAATTTCTAATTATAAGATACATTGTACATGTAGCTATACATGTACATGTGTACATGTACGTATAACAATAATATATTCTAATGATGATAAAATAAATATTAATCAAAATAACTTACATCATTTGAATGTGAAGGATCAGCTCCTTTCTTCAGCAGTAATTCTACAACATCACAGTTTCCTTTTCTTGCTGCTACAATAAGAGCAGTATCTCCTTCCTATAACAATAACAAGATAAGGATAGTATGGTTTCTAATGTTGCTATTGCCCAAAAAAGAAGATAAATTTGTGTAGCATGTGGTTATGGTATATTGTAGTTTAAATAAAACCTAAAGGTAGCCATGTGTACATGTATATCTGGAGCACACAATACTGCATTGATTCCAATTAGACATGAAGTGTGTGTACACGAAGCTTGTGTTTATAAAGCAAGAAGTATTTGAATTATAATCATTGAACATATTAAGCAGTAGTGCTTAATTTGTACATGTACTTAATATACACACGTACATGTACATGTATATGTACATGTGTAAGTTTAAAGGCAGCTAGTATACGAGTTTCTAGTTATGATGGCTTGTGTAAACACAACATACACATGTACATGTACATGTACATGTACAATACAAGATTCTAAAATAATTAAATTTAATACTGCAATTAAAATAACTTACATTGTTTGAATCTGAAGAATCAACTCCTTTCTTCAGCAGTAATTCTACAACATCACAGTTTCCTCCTCTTGCTGCTACAATAAGAGCAGTATCTCCATCCTATAATAACAAGATAAGGATAGAATGGTCTCTAATGTTGCCATTGTTCCCAAAAAATGAATTTGTGTAGCATGTGGTTATTGCACATTGTATTTAGTACTCTGCATGTTGTACATGTATAAATATAGTTTAAACAAAACAACTAAGGGTGTATGCCTGGCCAGACACTGTTTAATTGTCACAGAGAATAGGGGTATGACTATGTGAGACGAGTTAAGGTTAGAACATTATGCAAGGTATAATATTAATTTGACATTGGAATTACACACACATAGGAAGAATCCTATAGGATCATACATGTATGAATGAAACTTTGTTAAACCATACTGTACATGAGTGTACATAAGTGTATACAGTACATTATGTAAATGTAATGTCACGGGTGAAGTTGCATACAATATACAGTCTACACGAAGGTGCTACACTTCTCTGAACACCGAAGTGTAGGAAATCGTATGGTTTCCCTCATGCTGTAATGGATACCCATACTATTTTACTTATTTCTCTTACATAGATACTTAAACAGTGCTGTAACTAGCACCAATAAGAGAGGAGAAGTTGCTTGTTATAAAGAAACAAATTTGGTTTTCATGTGTGAAGTTTAAGCAAAGATATGCCAAAGTGAAAATTATTTGTTTAATAAGAATTGTTTGACTTTGATTTTTGTGCAAATCATTCACAGAATACCTGGAACCCCTACAGTCTTTCCATAGACTTAGGAAGGTGTACATGTAGTCTACATGTCCTGCTAGTTTCAATCTTAATGGA